TTATAGAAAATGTTGAGAAGCCCAAATTGCCCAAACTAGTTTGGGCTTTGAGAAAACAGTTTGGACCAGAAACCTTACATACAATCAAGTAGTGAAAGAACTATCAGCAAAAAATGATAAGCTTCAAAAAAAAATTGATAATTTTGGGATAGTTTCAATGTTTCAATTAAAGTGAATAATTGTGGGTTGGGTGGGAAGCAAAAAATTTTATCAGTGATTGCTGATAATTTTTTGTATTGTGAATTGCAAGATAACTTGAAGGTAGTATTTATGACTATATATAATTCATGTTTGCACAGAATTATTAACCTTATGCTGCAAAAATATTTTTTAGATTTCAAACAATCTAATAAATGCTGCAAGAATATATTCACAAGTCAATGGCCCTGGTTGTGTTGCAAATGAAAGACCCATAGTTTCTCAAAGTAAGAAATCAGAAATCAAAAGTCAAGAACTTGAGGCTTTTTTTATGGATAAAGACAATGTAACAATGAGTTCTTACAAGGACAAACCTTCCAATTCTTTATTTGAAGGATAACAAAGAACAACTCTGGAAAAAAATTTGAGGCCATCTATTCTGATGGAGTTAAATAGACATCATTTATGGCACATTTGACAAATGGCCCATATGTGTATTGAAAGGATTTGGGTGGACTTTGTGACATTTGCAATGAATATTTTTATGAAGTTTTTAATATGTTGAATAGCTTAATTCAATTAAAAAACATTGTTGATAAAGAAGAAAGGGTAACTTAATATAAAATAAATATGTATACTTCATTTAATATGTCTACAAATAATAATTATATACATTATATTTATAGAATAGATTAATTACTGATTTAGAAAAATTGCAAATTCATTTGAGAAGAAGATTTGAGGAGAAACTTAACATGAATAATGATGGCACAACAATGCATGTAGAACAATTAAAGCAAACAAAAATATGGAATAAGAGGAAGAGGGAAGTGTATGACCAAGAAAATAAAATCTTATCTTGAGGGATATTTTTTAGCAGGCAATATAAACAAAGTTGATCAAATGACAGCAAAAGAAATGGTAAGTCAACTTCATGTTTTAGCTGACAAAGTTGAAATTCAAGTTGAGAATATTCCCAAAGTGACAACAGTTGCAAATTGGATTACACAATATGCAGCAAACCTGAAAAAACTATCAGCACAAAAAGTAGAAGGTGAAGAAGTAAGTAGTAATAATAATGAACAATGTGAGTATATTGATGAGCCTAGGAAAGGTAAAAAATCTATCTTTGATAATTCTAATAATAATATTAATAATATACTGGACATTTGACAAAACATCAAAAAAAATAAGTTACCAAATTTTTTTATAACACTTTTTTATTATTCATTATATATAATATTTATTATTGTTATAAATAAAATTTACTTCTCTTTATACATCTGCTTTGTCTTATTGAACATATTCCAAAACTTTACAATGCATCTAATTATTGTATGTAAGAACAAAACAGCATACAATATTAGCCAATAGCATTGGCTGAAATTAAAAAATTATAGAATTTTTTTTTATCTTTTACTACTCAAATCTCTATGTCCAACATATAAAAGTTTTCAAGGAATATTCCAAATCATTTGGTTTTTTATTATAATATTATATGAGGTCTACTTTATTATTTGTTAAACATTATCAATTGGTAATTTTTTTACATTTTTGCACCACCAATCATACTTAAATTTCTCTGGTTCATTCACAGATTTGTCAATTGAAGCAGAAATCCAGTGATTCCTATAAAATATTTTACAATAAATTTTTTTTGAAATTGGTGTTTTGAATTTTTGGAGATTACTCATGTATGGGAAAATGCATGGAATTTGTATGGAAAAATGCAAATTTCAGGTAAAATTTTGTACAGTTTTCCATACATTTTCCCATACATTTCCATGCCAATTTTTTATAGGGCTTAAAGGCAAAAGTTGGGATCTGGCAAATTCTATATCTATTAATATTAGTTGAGATCATTATTACAAATCTACTAGAAATTCCAAATGAAAAATTGGACTTGTTTTAACCAATGGGCATTATTCACTTGCAAGAAATCCAAAACAACAAAAGGCTAAGTGGTTTTCAAAGCCCACCATTCCAACAGCTTACAGAGAGGATTATATAAATTACCAATTTATAAATTTTGGGTAGAGTCTGAATGGGTTTTTGCCCAATCAGCCCTCTGTCCTGCAGATTAAAATTATTACATGTTTATATACATCTTTGTCAGCAAAATGGCCAACAGAAAAACATAAAATGGTTTGGATTTGATATGTTACATTATAAATTAATCATTTTCATATATTTTCTGCTTCTTTGATTTTTATTTGACCAACTGAACTTGCTTTAAATGGTGGCTTTTGCCCATATAACCTCCTACCTAGGTTAAAGGAGTATAGCTCAATGAGAGCATGTATCTCGCAAGTATAAATATTGCAGTTCAATTCTGCCCACTCCTATTTTGATAGTATAGTCACCATTATCACTGGTGTCAAGAAGAAAGCTGTAAATAAAATGGTTCAGATTGGTTTGGTATGTTATAAATTAATAAATTCTCTGTTTCTCTTTAATATTTATTTGACCAACTGAACTTGTTATTTAAATGGGAGTA